TGTTTTAAAGACATCTAGACCTGCTCTATTTGAAAAGTGTCCTGAGATAACTTCTGTTATGAATTGGCGCTATACAAATAAAATTGAATTGAAAATTGAATTGAATTGAATGGCAGGGCCTTCCAGTAGTTTGTGTAAAGTAGATATTCCTTTATTTACCCAAGTCCGGAAGTTATTGTCCATTAGTCTAGGGGGAAAATCAGGATTGTCACATATTGGAGTGAAGACAGAAGTGAATTGAGATTCAATTCAATTCAGTTGTATTTGTATAGCGCCAATGCTTAACACAAGTTATCTCAGGACACTTTTCAAATAGAGCAGGTCTAGACCGAACTCCTTACCTTATCTAGGGCAGCTGTGGCTTCGAGGAAGAGCAAGTTGTCCTCTGATCAGAAGGTTGTTGGTTCAATCCCCGGCTCCTGCCGCCACTTGTTGAAATACCCTTGAGCAAGATACTGAACCCCAAATTGCTCCCAACGCTGTGCATTGGTGTTTGAATGCATCAGTTTCTGTTCGATGGACTTTGCCTTCACTGAGTGAATGTGTGTGAAAGGGTTAATGTGGCACATAGTGTAAAAGTGCTTTGAGTGGTAGAAAGACGCTATACAAGTACAGGTCCATTTATCTCCTTATTATAGCATTATTTACAGAGACCCAACAGTTCCCACCATGAGCAAACACTTGGCGATTTTCTGATGGCATGCCATGCCTTAACTGTGGAGATTGTGATAAGGTTAGTACAAGCAGACTTTAAAAATGTATTTTTCCTTATAAACAGAAGATTACTCAAAGGGTATTTAGACATTGAACTTTCTACATTCAACCAGGGAGATAATAATAAAAATAATAATACATTAAATTATTAGAGGCGCCTCTCTGGGCACTCGAGGACACCGTACAACACAAAAAAAAAAAAAAAACAGCAAGAAATAAGAAACAGATAAGAAAAGACAATGTAGATGGTTAAGTGGGGTAGGCAGTTCTGAATAGGTGAGTTTTTAATCTTGATTTGAAGAGTGTGAGAGAGTCCAGGTTCCTGAGGTCCGGTGGGAGTGAGTTCCAGAGTTGGGGGGCAGAGCGACTGAAAGCCCTGCTCCCCATGGTGACGAGGCGGGCGGGAGGGACAGAGAGGTGGACAGAGGAGGCAGATCTGAGGGAACGGGAAGGGTTGGCGATGTGGAGGAGTTCGGACAGATAAGGAGGGGAGAGGTTGTGGATGGCCTTGAACGTGAATAGGAGGATTTTGAAGTCAATGCAGAGTTTTACCGGGAGCCAGTGGAGTTGCTGTAGAACAGGGGTGATGTGGTGGATGGAGGGGGTTCTGGTGATAATTCGAGCTGCAGAGTTCTGAACCAGTTGAAGTTTATGGAGGTATTTGTGAGGTAGACCGAAGAGAAGGGAGTTGCAGTAGTCGATGCGGGAGGTGACAAGGCTGTGTACAAGGATGGCAGTGGAGTGGGGAGAAAGGGAGGGGCGGAGTCGATTAATATTGCGTAGGTGGAAATATGCAGACCGGGTGATGTTATTGATATGGGATTGGAAAGATAATGTGCTGTCGAGGATGACACCCAGACTCTTAACCTGGGGGGAAGGGGAGACAGAGGAGTGGTCGATGGTGAGGGAAAAACTGTTTGCTTTTGAGAGGGTTGATTTAGTGCCAATAAAAAGAAATTCGGTTTTATCACTGTTGAGTTTGAGGAAGTTGGAGGAGAACCAGGATTTGAGCTCGGTGAAGCAGTCAGTGAGGGAGGAAGGTGGGAGAGTGGAATTTGGTTTGCTGGAGAGGTAGAGCTGGGTGTCATCCGCGTAGCAATGAAAGTGGATGTTATATTTACGGAAGATATTGCCAAGGGGAAGGAGGTAGATGATGAAGAGAAGGGGCCCCAGGACAGAGCCCTGGGGCACGCCAGTGGTAACAGGGGACGGGTGGGAACTGAAGGATTGGAGTTGGATGAACTGAGTGCGGCCTGAGAGGTAGGAATTAAACCAGTCAAGGGCTGTGTGTAAAATACCAATGGAAATTAATCTGTAGAGGAGGATAGTGTGAGAGATGGTGTCGAAGGCCGCACTCAGATCGAGGAGGATGAGAATAGTGAGTAAACCAGAGTCGGCTGCCAGGAGGAGGTCGTTTGTGATTTTGATTAGTGCAGATTCAGTGCTATGGAGGGGGCGGAAAGCAGATTGGAATTGTTCGTACAAGTTGTTATAGGTTAGATGAGAATGAATTTGGGAAGCAACAGTTTTTTCGAGGATTTTGGAGAGGAAAGGTAGATTGGAGATGGGACGAAGATTATTGTAATTGTTAGGATCAGCACCAGGTTTTTTCAATATTGGAGTGATGGCAGCAGTTTTGAAGAGTGCAGGAACAATTCCAGTGGAGAGTGAGGAATGGATGATGGCAGAGATGAGGGGGAGGAGAGAAGGGAGGCAGGCTTTCACCAGAACTGTGGGGAGGGGATCTAGCTGACAGGTGGAGGGCTTGGACTTTAAGATGAGGTCTGAGATATCTGAGTCAGAGGGGAGCTGAAAGAAAGAAAGTGAGTGAGAAGTCAGACAGGGTTCTGGAGAGGTGCTGAGGGAGGAGCTTGGGCCTAGGTGCAGGTGGATCTGATGAATTTTCTGATTGAAAAAGGACATCAGGGAGTTACAGAAAGCAGTTGAGTACAGGTGGGGAGGGAGAGAGGCCGGGGTCTGAGAATATTGTTGAGAAGAGAAAACAGAGACTTGGAATTGCCTTCGTTCGAACAGATTATGCCAGAGTAGTAGTTGAGTTTGGTTTGAGAAATGCAGTCCTTATAGTGTAAAATATGATTTTTGTGCATGTCTTTATGAACAACAAGACCAGTTATCTTGTATAGTCGCTCGAGCTGTCGTCCTTTGGCTTTCATTTGCCGTAGTTCGGAAGTGAACCAAGGGGCCGAGGTGGAGAAGGAGACGGACCTGGTTTTCATAGGAGCGAGAGAATTAAGAATGGAGGTGAGGCCGGTGTTGTAGTGGGAAACCAAGTCGTCGGGGGTGGATGAATTATGAGTGTGGACTTATTATGCACTCAGTCCGCTATAGTGCAAAAATGTCTGGGAGATCGAGACCCCCCTCTGAGGATGAACATATCATAGCTATTTTCAGGTGTGCTTTCTTCTTAGACCATATAAAGGAGTTAAAACAACTATTTAACTGTGTGATGGTCTTTTGGAGGAACATGACTGGGATCATTTGTATTGGGTAAAGTAACCTGGAGAGAATGTTAATTTTTAGGAGTGCAACACGGCCCCTATTGGGAGGGTGTTCCACCTCTCTAGGTCTAGTCTTATACGCTCAAATATGGGTGGGAAATTTTCTTTGAATAGTTGTTCAAACAAGGGTATTATACGTATTCCTAAATACACAAAGCCTTCTGGCGACCATTTAAACAGGAAGGTAGATGGGGTATTAGATATCTTTGAAGGAAACGTGAATAACTACTTTACTATATTTACATTTATCTTTAGAAATAGGTTTCAATATTGCCCGCTCCGGCCCCAGGGATTCATTTAACTGTGGTCGCTGGTTTCGCTAAATTCACGTTCCTGACTATCGAGCTGCCAATAACCAGAATTGTGTCGCTGAGTGGGGAACGTTAACCTGTTGGCGGTGAACCGTGGGCTTCTGCTGTCTGGGGCTATGCTTTGGTAACCACCGCGGCTAAAGATTTCTCTGTGGTGCCGTGCTTCTAGTTCACTGAGCCTCGCCTCCAACACAGTAAATAAACTGCACTTAATACAGGTATCATAACAGCTAAACAAGGCAGAGGAATAACTGAACATCTGACACACTGATCATGAAAGAGCAGCAGAGGGAGATGTGAACAGCTGTGTAATTTACCGAAAAGTCCCTAAAAGCAGAAAGTATCTCCGAGTGCTTAAACAGAACTAATCTACGTTTAAATGTTAAGTGGGTAAATGACCGCTATAATGACATAAATAGTAAGTTTAGCATTCACTGGGCGAGGCAAGAGCAGCTAACTCTGTACACAGGAGCAGTCAGTAACTGGAAATGACACAGTTTGCTTATTGCTAGCATGTCATTATTGGAGACAGGAGTCTATAGGAACTGTCGGGCCTCTGTAAATAATTTTATAAGGAGTACAGTCTCGACCTGAGACAACTTTAGTTACGAATTGTCGTTATACAAATGAAATTGAATGGAATATTTGGAACAGGTATTCCTTTAGCACAAACTCGAATTTCAGGTTGTACTTTTTTCTCTGACACTTGAACACAAACATTGCTTTTACGGCAGCCGAAGATTTACGGCACCCAGCATACACACAGTAAACAATATTCACAATTAGGATTAATTTAAATGAAAACCTTTTTATTCTTTTGGACGCATATTCAGACTTTATGGCCACTTCAAAGGTAAATCTGAATGAATTATACTATAGTTTGTGTAAAATGAAGTGAAGGTTTGAAGTGTGGACAATCTAACTGATCTGACGATGTGTAGCATGTCCAGTGTAGGCGATCTAAGCAGCTTAGAACTCATTCAGGCTTTAAGAGGTTTCATACAATTCAATTCAATTTTATTTGTATAGCGCCAATTCATAACAGAAGGTATCTCAGGACACTTTTCAAATAGAGTCTAGACCGTACTCCTTATAAAATTATTATACATCCAAACAACTTCTATACAATCCAGAGCTGGACTCTAATGGAGACCACCAGGCTAGTAAAGGAGACCTGCTTCTAACTGGGACTCTACTTTTATTCAACGGTTTACAAACTTTTACCACCTCTCCTGGATAATAAAATAAAGAGAAATTTCATGAGAAACAATAAAGCTGCTGGAGGTTCAATCTTCCCCTTCAGAATAAAATGTCTTTCAGTTCATACTGTTATCATAGTAAGAACTTAGGGCCCCCTGTTGTCTAGCAACGTCACTGCTGTGAACAGAGCTGTTGTTGATGAAAGGCCTCACACGCTCATTGTTAACCCTTTCAAAGAGGCTTTGTGGTGTGCGTGCTGACTCAGCGCTCCGCAGCACAAAGCAGTGAGTGATGCTCAGGTGTATAAAAGCTGTGAGCTCACACAGGTATGAACGCAGTTCACCTCCCTCCGTCAGCACAGACCAACAACATGTCCGCCACCGACATGAACATGATGAGCAGGGTAAGTCCCAGCATGCATCACTGCTCCCAAACCAGAACTGGATTACACATAGTTCTGAGTTCATGTCATATAATCAATAACAGATTTTCATCATTTGTTCAATTATTACAAAACATTGCAGATACAAATCTTAAAATTCTCTAAAATTTACACATACAATTTTTATTTCTTAAACCAAAACCATATATTTTATCCAAACAGCTTCAAACATCCAAATATTTATAAATCATCAACCTTAGCCAGCTTATCTACATTAATCATTAACTAGTGAGTTGCACCTGATAGCTAATGCTAGCAAAACGTTAGCTAATTACCTAAGGCTTTTATTGTGAAGCGTTTGTGCATTTCCTGTCACTGCACAGTGGCAGCAGATCACAGATAACGGCTCAGATCATCCAGAACGTCATAACTCTATCTCAACCTGTCCTCTGTCCTCAGATCGTCTTCTACGAGGACAGGAACTTCCAGGGTCGTTCCTATGAGTGCAGCAGCGACTGTGCCGACATGTCATCCTACCTGAGCAGGTGTCACTCCTGCAGGGTGGAGAGAGGCTGCTTCATGGTCTACGACCGCACCAACTTCATGGGCAACCAGTACTTCATGAGGAGGGGCGAGTATGCTGACTACATGAGCATGATGGGAATGAGTGACCACATCAGGTCCTGCCGCATGATCCCCATGGTAACCACACAGCCAATCACAGCACTGACATCAGTATGAGCTGACTAATCACAGGACAGATATTCTGTATGTGACACAGTCCCATTATAACACTGGTAGCATATTACATTATTATATATATATATATATATATATATAGATATATATATATATTATTTTCATTATATCATAAACGGGCTCAGGTGAGTTCAGGTTAACAGCTCACCTGAATTTAATCCTCTAGCTGTTGGACAAGGTCAAATCTGTGTGACTTCAGGTGGAATGTCTTCAAAACTAAACGTCACTAAAAAGTTTAGATTATGAAGTATTATAAATTATCATTTTATATTTATGATACTATATTTACATTCTATTTTATTATTATATATTATATTATATTACATTATAGGTTATTACTGTTTCAGTGGAAGGTTCAATATATCAGGTTCCACTGGATCTTCTGGAGTTATTCATTATCAATTCAATTCAATTCAATTTTATTTGTATAGCGCCAATTCATAACAGAAGTTATCTCAGGACATCAATCTTTAACAAAAGCAGTTAATCTTTTAATAAACTGGAGTAAGAAAGTAAAATTTAAAACAGTATGTATTAAAGAAAAACATTTTCTTCAAGGAAATTCAAATTAGATTTTTACAGAAACTGGAGTTTGTGGGCAATAAAAAAAAAACACACCAAATTTGTGATGAACGAATGAATTATAATAGGTTATTGTTTATCTGATCAAAAAACATGAAATAATCAAATGTGAAAATTCAGGAATTCATTCTTCTTTAAAATGATCAAACTGTAGATTAAATCTGTTACATCTGTTATAAACCTCTTGAATATATTAATGTTCACACAAGAATATTTGCATTTCCTGAATAAACTTCATGTGCTGCTGCCACCGCTAATTGCAGGCATGGCTTCTAAAAGAGTCCCAGCAAGAAGTGTTTGTGATTTGCATCTTAAGATACCTCTCAAAATTGTTGTAATTGAATAATGTGTTCAAAAGATACCGTAAAAACGTACAGAAGAAGAAAAAGAATAATCAGCAATATAATATTATAATATTAATAATATCATTACTGTTACTATTATATGAGTCAAATAGACAGTACAGACCTCTGTCCTGTATCTACAGCACTGCCCCCTGTAGCTACTAAAAATATTATTGTCAAATGAACAAATCTTTATTAACTGTCTCCGAAAAAGACAATTAGTGTCAAATTATTGGACTTCAATAAAGCTTATAGTTTACTTAATAATAATTGATATTATTTTTACTATTTTGTTAATGAAATAGACAGTATAGATCTCTGAGCTGTATCTACAGCAATGACCTATATAACAATAATATCACTATTGTTCCTATTATTTAAATAAAATAAACAGTACAGACCTCTGACCTCAAACGTGCAATGTACAACATTACCAAATTTGGATGAAATCCAATTAAGCATCGAAAAGTTGTGATCCGTTAAGTGCAGCTGGTATCAAAAGAATGTCCGTGTGACCCCTGCTGGTCATTACATAGAATGTGGGTTTTAATACACTTCACAGACCTGGAAGTTCTGTCCGTAATATATACAATGATCAGAGCAGAACTTCCACTAGGTTCCTGTTTACCGTAATAGCCAAACAAGAAGGTGCCGATTGATGTTTAATGATTGATTATTGGTGTGTTGCAGTACCGTGGCTCCTACAGGATGAGGATCTATGAGAGGGAGAACTTTGGAGGCATGATGCACGAGCTGATGGACGACTGCGACAACATCATGGACCGCTACCGCATGTCCAACTGCATGTCATGTAATGTGATGGACGGACACTGGCTGATGTACGAGCAGCCCAACTACAGAGGCAGGATGATGTACATGAGGCCTGGAGAGTACAGGAACTTCATGAACATGGGCATGAGCAACATGAGGTTCATGAGCATGAGACGCATCATGGACTCCTGCTACTGAACGCTGTCTACGCCGCCTTAACAATAAACTTTATGTTAAAATGTAACAATTAAAGGTAGTCATTCATTATCTGAACTCCAATGATTCAACTCCATAATACTGTTTATTTATTAACTTCACTGATTTTACTTTTTTAATCAATAAGTCGACACATTAACAGACCTTTCACAATAAGAGCATACCAAAGAGGAATTAAACAAGTGAATCACAATATACACAGATATTGATGACATTAATCGCAGATATTGATCACATGATATACAGATATTGATGACATCATACGCAGATATTGATCATATGATATACAGATATTGATGACATCTTACACATGAAAATTGATCACATCATACACAGATATTGATGACATTATACACAGATATTGATCATATTATACACAAATATTGATCACATCATAGGCAGATATTGATGACATCATACACAGATATTGATCACATCATAAGCAGATATGGGTCACATGATATACAGATATTGATGACATCATACACAGATATTGATCACATGATATACAGATATTGATCAAATTATACACCGATATTGATCACATCATACGCAGATATTGATCACATATACAGAGATTGATGACATCATACACAGATATTAATCACATATACAGATATTGATTACATCAAACACAGATATTGATCACATTATACACAAATATTGATCACATGATATACAGATATTCATCACATGATATACAGATATTCATCACATTATACAGATATTCATCACATTATACACAGATATTGATCACATGATATACAGATATTAATCACATTACACACAAATATAGATCACATACACAGATATCGATTACATTATACACAGATATTGATCGTATGATATAGTTATTGATTACATTTTACACAATTATTGATCACGTTATAGACATATATTAATAATAATACTAATGCATTTTCTTTATAGAGCGCTTTTCTAGGAATTTAAAGACACTTCACATAAGTTAAAAGAAAAACTAAAATACTCAACAATGAATCAAACATCAAAAGTAGTTCAATTCAATTTTATTTGTATAGCGCCAATTCATAACAGAAGTTATCTCAGGACACTTTTCAAATAGAGCAGGTCTAGACCGAACTCCTTATAACATTTACAGGGACCCAACAGTACCACCATGAGCAAGCACTTAGCTACGGGGGCAAGGAAAAACTGCCCGTTAAAAGGCAAAAAACCTAGGACAAATCCTTCGGCTCTAGGTGGGTGGTCGTCTGCCTCGACCAGTTAGGGTGAGAGACAGAGAGAGAGAGAGAGAGAGAGAGAGAGAGACAGACAGACAGATATTGATTATATTATATATAAATATTGATCACATTATACACAGATATTGATCACATTATACACAAATATTGATCCCATGATATACAGGTATTGATCACATTATACACAATATACATCACATTAAACACAGATATTGAGCACAGAAACACAGAACAGAACTGTAAAATGAGGACATTGATCTGGCAATCTGTCCCCTCACTGTTAAAGTCTTTGTCGAGGTGGTGTCCAGCAAACAATGTGGGCTTCATTGATAACTGGAAGCCTTTTTGGGGAAAACCTGGTCTGATTAGGAGAGACGGCATCCATCCCACTTTGGATAGAGCGGCTCTCTTATCTAGCAACATGGCGAAGTTTATTTCTAAAACCTGACAGTCCAGAGTTGGGACCAGGTAGCTGAGCTGCTGTCTTACACACTTCTCTGCACTTTCTTCTCACCCACCCAAAACCCCATAGAGACTGTGTCTTTCCCCCGACCACCTAAATTATTTAAAGAAATAAAAACAAGAGGAGTTCAACATAAAAACCTAATAAAAATTAAAACTAACTCCTCAGTAGCACAAAATAAAAGAATGAAATGTGGACTGTTAAATATCAGGTCTCTGTCCTCTAAAGCTGTTTTAGTGAATTAATTAATATCAGATTATGATATTGATTTACTTTGTCTTACTGAGACCTGGTTGTCCAACGAGGAGTATGTTTGCCTGAATGAATCCACCCCCCCCAGTCATATTAATACTCACATTCCTCGAGGCACAGGCCGAGGAGGTGGAGTAGCAGCTATATATGATTCGAGCGTTTTAATGGACCCTAAACCTAAACTAAATTATAATTCATTTGAAAGCCTTGTTCTTAGTCTTTCTCACCCAAACTGGAAAACACTGCAGCCAGTTCTATTTGTTATAGTGTACCGCGCTCCTGGACCGTACTCTGATTTTATATCTGAATTTTCAGAGTTTCTATCAAGCTTAGTCCTTAAATCAGATAAAGTAATTATTGTAGGTGATTTTAATATTCATGTGGATGTTGACAATGACAGCCTTAGTAATGCATTTATATCATTAATAGACTCAATTGGCTTCTGTCAGAGTGTAAATAAACCAACTCATTGTTTTAATCACACTCTTGACCTTGTTTTATCATATGGCATTGATATTGAACATTTAATAGTCTTCCCACATAATCCTTTCCTATCTGACCATTATTTAGTAACTTTTGAATTCATACTATTAGATTATAAGCCATTAGGCAAAACTTCCTACAGCAGATGTCTATCTGACAGTGCTGTAGCTAAATTTAAGGAGGAGATTCCTTCAGTGTTTAATTCAATGCCATGTCTTAATTTAACAGAGTCCTATAATAGCTTTAGTCCCTCTGAAATTGATAATCTTGTCGATAGTGCTACAGGCTCACTACGATCAACATTAGACTCTATCGCTCCTATAAAAAGGAAATTATTAAAACATAGGAGACTAGCACCTTGGTATAACCACCAAACCCGCCAGTTAAAGCAAATAGCTAGGAAATCTGAAAGGAAATGGCGCTCTTCCAAATTATCAGAATATCGCTCAAATTGGCAAGATGATCTTAAGATTTATAGAAAGGCCCTCCGTAATGCCAGAGGAGCCTATTACTCAGCACTAATAGAAGAAAATAAGAACAACCCTAGGTTCCTCTTCAGCACTGTAGCCAGGCTGACAGAGAGTCACAGCTCTATCGAGCCACATATCCCCATAAACCTAAGTAGCAATGACTTCATGAGCTTCTTCTATAATAAAATTATTACTATTAGAGAAAAAATTAATCACCAACTGCCATCAACAGTTATCAGTGGCTCTCCAAGTTCAGGGACTTCTGTCAATGTAAACTTAGATGTATATTTAGACTGTTTTTCTGCTATCGATCTTCATCAGTTAACTTCAATCATTTCTTCATCGAAGCCATCAACCTGTCTGTTAGACCCGATCCCAACTAGGCTGCTTAAAGAAGTTGTTCCCTTAATTGGCACTTCTTTACTGGATATGATTAATCTTTCTTTATTATCAGGATATGTACCACAGTCCTTTAAAGTAGCTGTAATTAAACCCCTTCTTAAAAAGTCTACTCTTGACCCAGGGGTTTTAGCCAACTATAGACCGATTTCTAACCTCCCGTTCCTCTCTAAGATTCTGGAGAAAGTAGTCGCCAAAGAGTTGTGTGACTTTCTACATAACAATAGTTTATTTGAGGATTTTCAGTCAGGATTTAGAGTTCATCATAGCACAGAGACAGCTCTGGTTAAAGTTAATAATGACCTTCTGACTGCTTCTGACAATGGACTTGTCTCTGTACTTGTATTATTAGATCTTAGTGCTGCATTTGACACCATGGACCATGATATTCTTTTACAGAGACTTGAGCATCAAATTGGCATTAAAGGAACTGCCCTAACCTGGTTTAAGTCATACTTATCAGATCGTTCTCAGTTTGTACATGTTAACGATGAATCCTCCATAAATACTAAAGTTAGTCATGGAGTTCCACAAGGTTCTGTACTTGGACCAATACTATTTACTTTATATATGCTCCCTTTAGGCAACATTATTAGGAATCACTCCATTAACTTTCACTGTTATGCAGATGATACGCAGTTATATCTATCAATCAAACCCAATGAAATTAATCAATTATCTAAATTACAAACATGTCTTAAGGACATAAAATCCTGGATGACCTGCAATTTTCTGATGTTAAACTCAGAAAAAACTGAAATTCTTGTTCTTGGCCCCAAAAACCTTAGAGACTCATTGTCTAAAGATATAGTCACTCTAGATGGCATTAACTTGGCCTCTAGCACCACTGTCAGGAATCTTGGAGTTATCTTTGATCAGGACTTGTCATTTAACTCCCACATAAAGCAGACCTCTAGGACTGCCTTCTTTCATTTACGTAATATTAGAAAAATTAGACACATACTATCACAGACAGAGGCAGAAAAACTAATCCATGCATTTGTTACTTCAAGGCTGGATTACTGCAACTCTTTATTATCAGGTTGCCCCAATAAGTCCATTAAAACGCTCCAATTAATTCAGAACGCTGCAGCACGAGTACTGACAGGAACTAGAAAAAGAGATCACATCTCTCCTGTACTAGCTACTCTGCATTGGCTCCCTATAAAATGTAGAATTGAATTTAAAATACTCCTCCTCACCTATAAAGCTCTTCATGGTCAGGCCCCTTCATATCTTAAAGAGCTCATAGTACCCTATTACCCCACTAGAACACTACGTTCTCTGAATGCTGGGCTACTTGTGGTTCCTATAGTCTCTAAAAGTAGAACAGGAGCCAGAGCCTTCAGTTACCAAGCTCCTCTCCTGTGGAACCAGCTTCCAGTTGTGGTTCGGGAGGCAGACACCCTCACCACATTCAAGAGTAGGCTTAAGACATTCCTCTTTGATAAAGCTTATAGTTAGGGCTGGATCAGGTGAGTCCTGAACCATCCCTTAGTTATGCTGCTATAGGCCTAGACTATCGGGGGATTTCCCATGGTGCACTGAGCTACTCTCTTCCTCTCTCTTTCTGCACTCATTCATGTCCCTTTAATGCATGTTACTAACTCCACTTCTTCCCCGGAGTTCTTGTGCTTTCTCGTCTCGCAGGTTCTCATGGATCCTGGTGGAGCCTCCTGCCATGGTCCTGCTTGACTGCCATTGCCAATACTGTTGTTGCTGTGCACCTGTCTGTCTGTCTCTCTCTCTCTCTCTCTCTCTCTCTCT